TGCTAAAATCACTACAGAAACAGACGACCTAGTACCACACCAGGAATACTGCTCTGGCTGCTGCAGTGGCTAGCTGGGTTAGGACAAAATCCATCATTTGCAGGCTCCAATTTCATACATTCAAGCTTATTCTATACACACGTTTTGGAGCAGGCTGAATAGGGCTGGATGTAAGCCACAGAACTGCTGAAGATAGCACAGAGCATCAGAGCACTCAACACAACACTGGAGCAGGCCTACACGATGGCTGCCTGTTACACCAACAAGCCACTGATGAACAGAGCTCGCTTCTCAGCAAGCCACTGAACAAGATCCAAACTTGCCTCAGGCACAAGCACTTGCTAGTCAGACTCTCCTTTGGAGAGTGGTCTGCCTTTCTCAGGGAAGACGACCTTGTGCACTTCCACTGTCAGCCATCCATGCCTCTGTTCAGCCTAGATCAGCAGGACAGCTGACACACCACCCTGCACAACAGCAGCCTCCACAATGCCTTTTTCCACTCATCTCCTCCTTGCTTCTCCTCCCACAGAGCCTTACCCAGTGTGAACAGGGCAGCCCAGAGCACCCCCCGCTGTGCACACCTGCATCCCTCATTTCACTCCTACTCCCTGGCTTTTTAGATCTTTTCTCCCAGTAAGAGCGAGACATCCTCTTCGTTTCACAGGCCACAGCTTCTCCCTCACGTCTGCTGTTCTCTCAAGGATGCTAAACAAGCAGAAGACATACAGGCATCTTCCCAGAGACATTGCAGCAATGTCTCTTTTTTGTATTCGTCACATTATTGCTCCCACACACACACATTTAAACTCGGCTCCACCAGCTCCTGAATTTAACTTACATACAAGCAGTCTGATCTGTAATGCATTTAGCCATGCAAAAGGAAAAATCCACTTAAAGTTTGGCCCCTGGCACATTAGTACGCAAGTACCCGGACTGCCACTACCTCTACATTATCAGAGGGCCTCTCACCCAGGGTATCCTACCCTTTTAGCAGATAGGCTGGATATGTGCTGGGTCAGTATCACTCCTGAAGAAGAGAGCCCAGTAAGATAAGGCAAATAGCTTATCCAAGACCAGATGGGGGGGGTCAGGACTCCCCAGTTCACAATCCTGCACTTTAACCACAAAGTCATCTTTCAGTTATAGAGATCAACTGTTCCAAGAGCCCACATTGCTGGCAGACGGGCACCACAGGCAGGTCATGCATTAAGACAGTGAGCATGGAAAGACTATTCCCTCTGTAAGCATTCAGATCATTTTGCATTACACACAGGAAGCTGTAAAACCATATTCCATCAATGAGAAGTTGATAATGAAGTTTCGCTTTTACTAAGCCAATCATTAAATCGTGCTGGTCCCACTTTATAGAGAAATAGGCAGCAACACATAGAATAAAACAGATTGTCTTGAAGTATTTTCCTCTGGATATCTGTAATTATAAACCAAACATCATCAGCTTCCCTCTCTCCCTGCAGTAAATAATTACCTGCAAAAGAATATTCCTCTTGGCTCCATCCTCCCCCATCAATTCTGCTTTGCAACAATGTACCACCTGGATTGCTCACTCTGTCAGTGCACTCGTTATCCAAAACGCCTCAGAAGACGTAGAGGAGAGGCGTAACTGTTAACTTCGGAGCAGCAGAGACCTTTCCTTAGGGGTACAAGAGGGCATCATCACTCGGAGTACTTAAAGCAGACAGCTATGACATACACAGCTTAGGTCATCTGCTGCTGCAACATCACTGCAACCATCAGTGGAGGCGAATCACGCACTCTGAGCACTCCCATCACGCTCCTCTGGACTGTCTGTGCTTTATTGCCAAAGAATAGCAAAATTCCTCCCCTGAAATACAAGGTTTTCTATTCCTTCCCTTGTTTTTGAAAAATATCCTCCCCATCTCTAGATTTCATCCACGGAAAAAAAACCAAACAACAAAACCCTAAAACAATTCAAGTCTTCTCCATACAGCAATCTCATTTTTAAGAGACTTTAATCTTTGAATGCTAGATCAAATTGAATATTGTGACTGCTTGGTCACGCACAGTAACCTGTTCACCTCTTGCCACTTACCCTCATCAACCTGACAGTCATACAGACTCTGCAACTAACAGATAAGTCAGAAAACGTTCAGAGCACTCGTTCCTTTTGCCCTATTGAAAGGCACCTCCTGGCTGTAAACCCAGCAGGGAGGAAGGATGATGCCAGGAGGAAAGCAGAACTGCCTGGCAGGAAAGCTGGGTTTGGTCAGACAGCAGATGGAAGCAGGTTGCATACAGATACACAATCAATGAACAACACAAGGTCTGCCATTTGATCCCAGTTTCTTTCTTAAGATACAAAATCAAATTCACGTTTGAAAAAGGCATAAGGAGAGCATAAGCAAAAACCAGAGCTAGGAAGAACCTCCAGAATTGCAGGAACACCCTGCAACAGCCAAAAAACTTGGGGAGAGGCAGAGAAGCATTACCACTGAGCAAACATCTTCACACTCACACACAGTCTGGGCTTAGTTTTACATTTTTATGGGTTTAAACACATACCAATTTAGTTGAGCTGACTATGAACCATTCAATAAAAATCTCCACCAGGAAGGTAGAGAAAAAGAGGGAAAATGGCTAATTTAGAGTCAAAAAGCATGGAAAGAGAGGTTCAATACAGAGGCAAAAGAAAGAATGAACAGAAAACCATGACACAAAAGAGGTAAGTGAAACAGATACCGAGGACAGTTCAGAACAAGATAAACCATGAAAAAGTGGAGTGAAAACTGGAAGGGAAAGATAAGAGAACAGGGAACATTCCATGGCAGATCAGTTGAACGACAGCTGGCAAATAGATAATTTGTTTAATCTCATCCATATTTGTCAAATAATTTATTTGATTAATACACTTTGGTCGTCAACCAGCTATAGAGGTGATCAAATATCATGTCATAAATACGTTATTAGATTAATACACGTAAAATTCAAATATGTTCAACATTTTTATCTGTTGCTTAATAAGCTCTGGTTTTAAGTTTACAGGTCAAAAATGTTAAAATAGAAAGCTGGTAATAAATTACTATTAGATAAAAAATCCTTGGAGCACAACCATTTTGCTTCTCCTAGACTGACAAAAAGTACAGTATATTGTATAACACATCTTGAAAGACAGGAGAGGAGATATTCCTACTTTTTCCCTTTAACACGTTCCCACAACTAACACCTCTCTACAGGTAGCACTTTTTGTCTTGGATTTTATTTTGTTGAACATTTTCCCAGCATTCAACTTTTCTTACTCCATAAAGGTTTTCACCCCAAAAAAACCTGGTATTTTCTCCAAGCCTAGCAGGAAGGTAAATTTGGGGTGCACCAGTAGCAGGAGGGGAGGCAGCAGGTGCCATATGCAGCCTGGAAGCAAATGTTTACATCTGTGAGCTTAGCTCTGCTCCTCTTAAAGCAAAGGGAAGTCAGGTGAAAGATGGCTACATGGACAAGGATGCCTCAGGACCTCTACTCTCACAGGGAATTTTCCCACATTATCAGCAGACTTTTCCAAATCTCCCTAGGAGAACCAGGAAAAAAAAGGTCAACCGGCAATTTTTCAGCCCTTTTTTTTTCCCTTCCCCCAAGACAATAGCAAGGTCCCCTTGAGAATCCTCAGACCTGGAGTGAAAGCCATCAAGGCAGACCATCTCCATGCATGCGGTGGCTGGTCTGCCAGGGAGCCCTGTGCAGCAGCACCAGATCCGATAAGGAAATCATGGCCATCGCTTTCTAGGCAGACATCAGAGAAGCATGAGGGTACTCCCACTGCTGTTCTATCTTCACCACTGACAGCAGCCAAGAATCAAACTCATCACAGGAAAGAACCATACCAAGGGCAACTCCCTGGGGCCAGAAAAGTGTCCCTCGGGTCATATGTCCTATTTAAATATCACAACAATATCCCAAACTGAGATAATTATTGCTAATTACAAGATCATTTTTATGTAAACATGAAGGATATTACCATGTATACTTCATCTCTTTTTAATTAAAAGAAATAAGAGGTTCCCTGAGATAAAAAAAAGACATGCTGACAGCTCCCACCCAAAAGCAGACTTTTCTGCAGTGATAACACCCATCAGCCTCCAGACCCACCAAGGAGACTGAACAAGGAAATCAATCAGCATCAGCCTCCCCAGTGCTGAAATGAAGCAGTTGGCACAATATTAATCACATAGGGAAAACATTTGACAAGGAAAGGGCCAGACACACAGAGGGGGGACACACATGGATTAAAAGTCACGGCTGTCTTACAAACACTTGCAGAAATCACACAAATCACCAGCTGCAAAATCAAAATACTCTGAAGAATAAACACATTACCAGTTCTGACTCCAGCAACTCTTTAGTTGAGCTCACACCAAACCTCATGTGCTTTCCTCCATTCAAAACCAGTTCCTGCTCCAAGCTGCACAGCCTACCCACGCCAACCAGACTGGAGTACATCGTGACACAGCCTCACCAGGAGTCTGTACCCCTTCCGCATATCAAAGACCAGAGTAAAAAGAGACATGTCACAGGCTAAAAGAGACATGACCATCCAACCTAGGACACTGAAATAGTCAATGGCTTGACTTGCCATACAATGGCTTAACAAGCCATTCCTGATGCACGGTCCTCCTGTTTCCAGCTGTCCTAAGCATTTCTCCAGCCGCTCCAGAGTTCACCAGTCCACTCTGATTTCTCATTGTCTCTTTTGTCTCCAGACACGCTCCACTGCTTAAGGCAATTTAAAACACAGCCCCAACCAGGATCCATACGGGCCAAGCAAGCTCTCAGACGCCCCTTCACTTGGGTTGAAGGCGTTGCACCCCCGGACCCCGCGACACCCTGGCACGGCAGGCAGGCAACCTCGGAACGCCGCAGAGCCCCGGCAGAGAGCGTCTCTAGGAGGAAGGGAGTGTCACCAGCTCCGCAGAGCCGCATGCTCACAGAACGGGGACCTCGCTCACTTCATCACAGACGCACATATATACCTGCGCCTCCGCCACCTGCGCGCCCCCTCCGCGCCTCGCCCCCGGCCTGCCGACGCCTGGCACTGCCGTGAACCTGGTCTCTCCTGGGGGGTACCGCAGCCCAGCAGGCACCTACTTGGGCAAAGAGTGGGGAGTCACATGACAGGAGCAGCGTGGAGGATTCAAGGGGGTGAGGAAAGGTGGGTGAAGGAGGCTGGAAACTGGGGGTGCGAGAAAGAGCAGATGGAGAGGGCTGCAGCTAAGGGATGTGGAGGGGAGCCGGAGGGCAAGGGGGCAAAGGGAAAGGGGTTGCAGCTTGGGAGGGGGAGGGCAGGAGGAGTGTAAAGGGGATGAAGAGGCTGTGGATTGGTAGTACCCCATCACCCTCCTACCTCGGCGGCCTGCCGGGGCTGGGGTCGGCAGGCAGCGCCCAGGCAGCAGAGTCATGGCGCGGCCAGGAGAACAGGTGGGTCCCCGCCACCGCCCACCGGGCTTAAGGGTCACTCCTTCCTCACAGCCGCCGCCGGGGCACGGCGGAGGGCACCCCCAGCACGGTGGGGGTACAAACTTCCCGGGGTGGGGGAGAACAGCCCCGCTAACAGGTGGCGGCGGCGCTGCCGCCCCGTCCCCGCCGCGCCGGTGGGCGCTGCCCCTCCGCGACGGCGCGTCCCACCCACCCCGAGCCAGCCCCAGCCCCAGCCCGGCGGTCACTCACCGGCTCGTCCACCCCGCCGGGCGGGATGCGCGTCCTGGAGAGCGGGGCGCGGAAGTTTAAAGCCGGGTAACAGTATTATTTGCTTTTTTTCCCTTCCAATGGAGGAAAAACCAAACTAGACGAGGCGCTCCCCCCACCCCAGGCGGGCGAATCCCCGCTCCGCTCCTCCCCGCCGGGGGCTTTCAGCCGCGCGTCGGCCCGGCGGCGAGGGGAAGTTTCCACCGCGGTGGTGGAGGCGCCCCCGGCGTGCCGCGCCCGCCCCGCATTGGCACGGGGCGCCGGGGCGCTGTGCCGCCGCCGCCGCCCGGACAATGTGCGTGCGGGGGGAGCGGGAGGGGAGCGGAGCGGGAGCGCGCCCCGCCGGCGGCCGCGGCACACGCCCAGCCCGCGCCCCGCCCGCCCGCCGCTCGGCGCCCGCCCGCCGCCCCGGATTGGCGGCCCCCGCCGCCTCCGCCCTCCGGGTGGGCCGCGCTGCCTGTCAATCACCCGCCGCCACCGCCCGCCGCGGCCCGGCCGCGAGGCGGTCCCTGGGGCGGTGGCGGCGGCGAAGGGGGGGCGGTGCCGCCGCGCCCCGGCGGGTGACCCCCGGCCGGTGACCCCCCGCCGCCCCCGGGCCCTGGGAGCCGCCAGGACCGCGGCGTCCGCCCCGCGGGGACGCGTCTGCGCCTCCCGCCCCCGGTGGCCCCTCCGTGGGAGCTCCCCGCAGCCGAGGTCAGGGGAAGGCCTGGCGGCCGCCCGCGCCCCGCGGGACTACCCGGGGCTGCGCTGCCTTTGTCGGCGCCCCACGGGGGCGTTCTGGAGAGGAAGACCGGAGACCCCTGAAAGGTAGCGTTGATTGCCGGTCACGGCCCCCGGCTGAATACCCGCTGGGCTAAACTCGGCTCACAGGGTGCTCCTATCTGGCCCCTGGAAATGCCTAGAAAAATAGGTGGCTCCAAATTATTCCAGAGCAAGTTGGAGAGGCCGCAAAAGAAAATACACCTGAATTGGCTCTGTGTAAGACAGCTGGGGTCCAATTAGGCTTAGCAGCACAGATAGGCACTGCCTGAGCAGAATTACTGGAGTTACAGACGAAGGTCGGAGCGTGGCAGAAGGCTCGTGTCTGATCCTGTTTGGGTCCCTCAAGGAGCACTGCTGAATCAGAGCTAGTAAATCTTGGTGGACTCAAGCTTCATGCCATGAATTTAGGTCTGTCAATGCAGTGCTTCCTGTCACGGTACACCAGACATTTTCTACTATAAGGCAGCATGACTCCCCTATTACTTTGGAAACTGGACAGTAGATTGCACAGTCACCTTGTTATCCAGCAGCATGCAGAAGTGATCAAGCTTAAATGCAGAATATGATGCCAAACAAAGTATTCGGTACTGGAAAAGCACTGTTCTCTCTGACATAATGTTTCAAACACACTTAAACAATTTATTGTTTCCATTACAAAAGTATCTAGTAATCTGAAAATTGATCTAAATCCTATTGTTCTAGATATTACGTTTGACACATAATAAAAGGAAAGCACATGCCCTGCAAAGCTTGTAGAGAGAGCAGATGAAACATGTTGTAGGGATACCCGTTGAGAGGGTTGTGCAGGTTTTCTCAGGTCTCATGAATGTGTTGCACCAGCACAAACAAACCTGCCGGAGCACTTTCTGAAAGCCAGCACACAAACAGACAGGTCCAAACAAAAACGCTGAAGCTTTAACCTACCTTAAACTCTTTCCCTGCTTCTAACAAGCCCTCCTGGTTCTGGATGACCTCTCAATTCTCCACAGAGGCAAGGACCACAGCTCACAGAAACACAGCATCTCTCCTGACCAAGCCAAGGGCAGAAGCAGCAGCACACACAAAGGTGATGGGTTTCCTCACAGGCAGACACATGCACGCACGGTGCACCGCCTCTCCGTGCTACCTGTCTCGTCTTGTTTTAGCCGTTTCTAACGAGCAGGCAGGGTACTGGAGCATGCACAGATCTTGCTTTTTGAAGCACCCTGAAAGCAGGCTCATATTTTTCAGTACCTGGGTGGCCCAGAAGAACTTTTCAGGGAGCAAGAACCAAACAGATAGTAAAATAGGCACATTTGTGGGTGAACCTCAGTTTCATGCTTCTTGGGCTTCTCTGTGACCTACAAGAACCAAGAAACACCAGAAGATGGAACTGAAACTGCCTCTTACTTGCTCATTCTTCACTGCCAGATCACATCAGGATATAAGATACCTGAGGACTGCTTGTTTGCAGACTGCTGGAAGCAGAGACATAATCACCTATTGGTGAGTCATAACCACACAATCGCATAGGGGTGATGATGCAAACCCGCAAAGGCACAGAGGGTGATATTAACTTCAAGGTGTCTTCTTCCTCTTTCTATTTTTTGATAAAAAAGCAAAATATTGGGACAAGATCCTCAGTTTTGGCAAAGCAATGTAATTCCATTGCTTTTGTCAGAGCACAGATTTACATTTGCTGAGGTTATAGCCCATTCTGTATGTAAAATATGGTTCTGCCTGAGCAGATTCTTTCTTCCTTTCTCTAAACTTGAGTTTAATTCTTGAAAAGTGTCCGCTCGTCTGAAGCCTCTGGAAGACAAAACCCTCATTTTTAAACATGGGATGTGCAGTGCCACAGCAACAGCAGTGCAAATGCTACTGCAAGAAGTTAGTTCAGCCTACTAACACTACTCTGCTAACTCAACCCGTGTTGTGACTTCAGATGGATTGGCAACAAACTCCTCCAGCTGCCCCACCAGGCAGCAGTGTTCTATGGTGAACCTCAAGGCAGGCAAAGATAAATGTGCAGCTCTCTAGAAATCTTGCAGTGCTCTTAACTGCTGTAAGTCTTGCTTGACAGGAGAGGAAGGCTAATCAAATACTGGGTCTACTAGCATGTGAAGCAATAAAAAGGAAAGGGAGAGTATCTTAGAAGGTCCTTACTGCCACAGTGAAACTGTGAAAACCAGATCTGCAGTGGGGTTGAAAAGCAGTCCCATCATTCCCATGCCTTCAATTTTTCCTGATTGTCTTACCCAAACTGCATGTTAATTGCAGGTGGGAGGCCAGAACTCATAGACATGCTTATCCCATCATGACTTTTTGTACCAACACTAAATTCAGTCTGTGAAATATGTCACTGATTTTTGTAGGTGCTGTGACCCAAAAAATAACTGCTTGATATTGCACCCCCTCTCTAACTTCTACAAGAGGGAAATCACAGACAAGACATAAGGTTAGGAGTCCACTCTGTGACATACAGACTTATGCCAAAAGCTTAGTAAGCAACTGAACTTGCTCATCAGCTGCAGATCAAGGCTATCACTGACATATTTGAAATTATAGTCTTTTTTGGAGTGATTTCTAGTAGAAACATTCAGACAATGGCCAACTTGAACTATTCTTTCTTTTCCCTAAAAAAAACCCTAAAAAGAACATGAAAAGTTCTTGTGATCATCAAAATCATCAGCAAAGTAAGTAACAGTAATCTTCTAGCTTCACAAGGATACATACTTGAATACCTACAGATATGCATCATATATTTTTTATATACTGAAGGGTATATCAGTTCTCAGCAGACACAGAAGGTAGATTAGTGATGTCAGTTGCTTTTGTTGCTCTTAATCTCCTGTTGCTTCACCATATTTACCAGTTCCCCTGACTTTTAATCATGCAGATTCTTTCTGGTTTGGTTTTTTTTTAACTCTCCCTAGTCCATTCTCCTGGATGCACAACTTTTTCTGTGTAACTGAAACTTTCTTGAAAAGTGTTTGCAAGGAAGACTATCATTGTGATCTCTTTAACAGTATCTCTGAGGAAAGCAGAGACCCCTGGGAGTTTTACTTTCCCATTGTACCATATTCTTCATGAGTTTTTAGTTTAGTCCTTCTGCAGATACATTAGACCCAAGAAACTTTCAAGTCCTTTTCTCATACTGGGTTGTTTTCCTTGCATATCTCTTCCTGAGCTTAGAGGATGAGTAGTGTCATAGCAAGAAGCAAACCAATATGCAATCAACTTTTAAAATTTGTATTTTTCTAGGGAACGCAAATTGTTTCCTTCTGGTGTCTGACAGAGTAACCCAAGCAATTTGCCATGGCAAGCAGCTTATGAAACAGAAAAAAAATTATCATCACAAGGTGCTCTGCTGCTATAACAAGGAAAGAAGCTGACCTTATCCATTTTGTTCACTGCATCATCTAGGTAGCAGAATCTGTCAGTAGAAGTTTGTGTTAGATTCAGTGCAAGTGAGCTGTCTCGTGGGCCTATCTGATACTTGGATCAAAACTGAAGTGCAGTCAGAAGGAAAGAAAGAAGTGTTCAGAAGAATTGAAACAACTCTGGATTCTCAGAAACACAAAGCCAAATCCATTTCCGCAGCAAGCTGATGCAACTCTGAAGATGCTGGGAAGGGATGAACCAATTCTGAAATTAATTTGGCTTGCATTCTCTGACAATCTCCATTCTTCCCTCCTCCTCCTTTCTTTCTTTTTTTTAAGGTGGAACAAATCTCTGCAGATCTATGAGTATTTTGGAGTTACCTGGGACAGAGGATGGAATAGGCTTGCAAAGTCTGTGTTCAAACCCATGCTCTTTAGAGGGCTGCTCCTGGGAGGGGCAGTCTCATTGCTACACATTTTACTTGGGTTAGTGAGCGAATTTAGAAATGGCAAAGGGTATCAGCTAAGGGCAGAGAGGGGAAACACTCATATTACCACTGTGGGAGAAAATCAAACCTGAGTTTTGTTGGCTCAGAGGAGGACAATTTTGAAAACTCTTCTATGCACAAATAGTCACAGAATCCAGTGGAACTAGTACTGGATCCCTGGGCTGAAGATTGACTCATTTGTAGATCCGAAGTGGGTCTCGGGTATACAGAAAATGTTTGCCTTGCTCCTGAGCTAGAAAAGATGTCTTCTGTGGGATAGTCTTGAAAAGTGAAGGAAAAACTGAAAGTTTCTTAATCCCTAGACTACTGATATGAACCACAAGTAACACAGCTCCGACTGTGTGATGGAATGAAGTGTATGCTCCCTGTTCTATTTTAAAAACACTCTCTCCCAGTTGAAGTTTATGCTGTTGATGTAGTATAGGGCTTGAGAAACAGTGGCCAGCCTTCTGAGGTGCCTGGGGGCTTAGCTGAATTCACACGTAAAATTATTCTGAGTCATGGACAATCCTCTTGTAGCTTCCTGGTGAGGTTGTAGAGAAAATACTGCTAGATTACAAGCCCCAACAATAGCATGACTTGGAAAGAAGCCTTTGAGAGAAACTCTTAATGTATCAGATAAATCTATGTGGACATGCAAAGCTAGAGCTCACTCCTGACAATGAATTCTTATACTGTGAGTGACTGACTATAAAAAGACTATGGGGAAAATCTGAGTCTTCTGCAGCACAAAGAAACCATGAGACTATCAAATGAAAGTCATCTCAAAGAAACCATGCTAAACTGTTCAACACTATGATTTAACACAGTCTCCTAGAGACTGGAGAGTTTGCGGGCTAATCCGTACTGCAGGTTGTACCATAAGAGACATAGCCAGAAGACAGATCACAAGCGTGAAATTCTGCGAGTGTGTACCATCATCCCAAGGGCCTCTGACTCTTGGAGATACCTAAGACTTGGAAGCAGCAGTATAACTGAGAGACCGCACAGAGGAAAAAAAAGACCAATCAGTCCTCGTGTCAAAGGATTTTTTAAGACAGACACTGAACTTGAGAAATCTGCTGGAGTAATCAATTAACAAAACAAAACACTAAATTAATTAATCAACACTCAATTAAACAACAAAATCTTCCTCTGTTTCATCTCCAAAAACACCCCATTGGTTCAGGTGACCCAAGCAGTGAGTGGGACCACTTTGGTTTTAATCGCCAAAATAATGGCATAAATATTGGATTAAATTCTACTAAGTAAGAGTGCTCAGGCTTCTTTCAACCAAACCATTTGAAATGGTGCAGTAGATTCCAGGTGAATAGAGCAAAATCATCAATTCTGGAGGGCTATCTGACCCAGGACAGGATCTTTCTTATGGATTCCTTTTTGAAATAAGCAAGGCAGGAACTTGCCAGGTGCCTGGCCTAAGTACCACCAAAGCTAGAGAGAGGAAAGATTCCTGTTGACTGAAATGAGTTCTACTAACAGTTAGATTTGATCAATTGTAAACTGAGAATAGAAACTTGCAGAGAGGAGATGCTCTGTAATCACAGAAGTGAAAGGCTTTGTAATCAGAGCTTGGAAGTGGAAGGAGGTCTATGTTCTGTAGTTTAAAAATACAGACAGCTGCTGATTCCCTTTTTTCTATAAAACCCCACAACCCAAATACACACACAAAAAAAGACATAGTTCAAGGCTGGCCATTTCCCAGTCAGCCTCCTTGTAGAGAGACCATAGGAATGACAGCAATGGCTTTTCCCTAGCCATGATATGCAATAGTTAGTAACTTGAGGCCCTCACCTGAGTGGGATGTTTGGACATCAGATTCTGCTGGAGGAGTGGTCGGGTGGGAGAGATGAGATACAGGTTTGATCTCTGGGACTGTATTTACAAGCAATGTCTCTTTCTACTACTGCCTGTTGGTTTCAGTCTGACCTGAAGCACACTGCCCTCTGCAGTGTCTCATTTGTTCCTGTGGGTGTTTGCTTAAGATCCCAACAAATGTTCTTTTTGACATTTTGTGCCTTTTCCAGGGAGTTATAGCTGATCACATGGTGAGTCTGGAGCCTGAGATACTTAGAAATGGCACTGATTCTTTCATGAAATACCCTCACCTGACCAAGAGTTGCCAGGGTTGGTGAGGTCCCATATCTCCTTCCACTCTCCGCTGAGCCTGCCATTGTAAATCAGCAAGGGTCATATAGGGTAGGAGGCCTGGTAATGCAGGAATATGTATGTTGGGAACCAAACTGATTTTCCTGGCAATGGTTTGCTGGCATATGTAAAGGAGCTTTTGTTAGCTGTCAACTTGAATGGAACATCAATCATTCCCTTGGTGTGATCTTCAGATCACTGCACTCTGAGAGAGGGGTTTTGCCTTTGTCTTCAGACAGCAGTAACTCAGATCTTTGGGATTTGAAAGCCTTATTTGTTGTTAAGAATCCCTTGCGATATTTAATCTCCATGTGATTTCTTTTTCAAACTCTACAGAAAAGTTTGAACACTTTGCAACTTACATGCTATCAATTTTTTTATGGGACAGTTGGGATCACTTACCATGTTCTGGGTCATCTGTCACTTTTGCTGGCAGGAGCCAGATTTCCAAAGTAGAAATGGGATGAGTTGCTAAGGGATGTCTTGCGCCCTGTGTCATTTCTGCGTTCACTGATGCGCAACAGATTTATCTTGTAGTTCAAGGCCTCTCTGTACCAGATGAGTTTTTACTGACATCTCAGACTATCCCACATGTTCTCCTGGAGAAGACACTAAGATTATTCATAGTCTTTTTTTAAATAGTCTTCTTACTTCTTCATGAGCTAATGCTGATTTTCTTCCCCTCAGCATCAAAGAACAATTGCTAACTACATCTGTTTCTTGCAGAAATTTCAAAGCAGTGTTACGCAGCATGATTCAGGCATGCACACATGGTAGAAGCAGATAGAATTAAAGACATTTGTCTTTATCCAGTTACACTACTGGTTCCTTTTCCTTTGATTGCTTTTTAATGTACTGGCTGCACACTGTCTCTGCCATGCAGCCCTCCGTCTCATCATCAATCTCATGCTGCTGAGCTTTTTCTTCTCTTCTATCAAGTCCTTCCCTAAATTCTGATTTTAATTCTGTGAGGAGCTGCCCTGCACCTTGGTTCCTACCTATGTGACCAAGTAAAGCTGATGCAAAGCAGTACTCACATAGAATGCAGCTACCTAGTTGACTGGAGAGGAGGATGGAATGCAGCATTCCCAGCATCTCTCTGCTCTTGACACTCCAGGGTACACTCTACTCCTGTATACCTTAGTAAAGCCAGTTTATCTGTTCCCTTTCCATTACAGACATCTGTTTTCCTCTGTGGCAGCCTCTTCCTGATGCTCCTGGGCAGCGTTTTCAGCTCCTCCTTCGTCCCTTTCTGTGACTACCTCAAATACGCACTGCTGCAGTAACAAAGTCCATTGGTGACCTCAGCCTTCATGTTATTTATAGCAAAGGTAGACTCTCCTTCAGTACAGCTGCTCCAGTACAGCTCAGACAGTCATCAGAGCTAGAGATTCTGAGTTACACAGCTCCCTGTGAGCTTATGATGGTAGTGGTATTGCCACATCAAGTGAGATTCATGTGAGATATTGGAAGGTCTCCTTAGCAGTAAGGCTATGCTCTTGTGTCACTATCCGGTCTGGAATAGTGAGAGACCCCTAGTAAAAGTGAGAGCATAGTCCTCCCACACGAATGCCTTCAAGAGCAACATAGGGTTAGAAATTGTCCCTTCAGTCAGTGAGGTGACATAGTTGATCTCTCTAGAGTATTTCTACACCTATTTCACACAGATTCTCTTTTTGCTGGCAGCTACTCCCTTCCTTATTAAAGTACTTTCCTGCAATGAAGCCACAACATCTTTTTTTTTTTTTTGTCGGCAGTTTGGTCATCCCCTTTCTTCTGGTGCTTCTCCATCAGGGAAGGTGAAAGGCAGAAGAGGACCTGCAGTCACTTGCATTGTGAAGGACTGGTGTGGGCCACTGCATGTTTCGAGGTAACTTGTCGTGTGTTCGCGAGCTGAGTAGTGATGTGTCTACGTGTGTGTGTGTGTGTGTGTGTGTGTGTGTGTGTTCAAATCACTCAGATACTATCTGAGGGCTTTCAGAAGTCAGATGTCCTGCAAGATTCCTAAGCTGAGATGCCCAAAGCAACATGTTGCAAATTTCTTCCCTGGCTTCAGACTCATGACTTTGCCTTTTCCACTTACAGTCAGCGGACTTCAGTTGGGGAAATACTGAGGCTAACATACCAAAACACTGATCCTAAATGCTACATGAATCCAAGTGATTGATGGAATTTCAGCCATTAACTGTAAAAACATGAGTAAGCTTATGTTAATCTACAGATGTATTAGCACTGAGCGATTTCCCAGTCCTCATTAGCAATATGCTTTGATAGGGATAGAAGGTGTTAGCCATAGTTTCCCTTCAGTGAGCTGTTTAATCATTGGAGCTTACTGGCAGTGGGATTTGGGGGACTTATGTGATCACAAAGTGAATTAGGAGTAAAACAGTACCCTCTCTCTGTGTTCTCTGGAATAGTGCACTGGGGAGGGAATGGGTTCAGAGCTGCTCTGTTCCCCCATTTAAGCGGCACTGGTGTGCTCCAGTGAGGACTAAGCAAGAAGCTACTGCCTCCTTAGTCAAGATCTTCCTGGTTTTCAGGAGCACGCTTAGACCAGCACTCCTGCAGAGATCAACACATGCTGGTGAACTTGCTATAGCATGTTTAGCCACATATTCTTGTTGGCTTACTAAGATCTGATCCAAAGCTTACTGCAGATACAGCAAAGATTCATGTACTTCTTCAGTGGTCTTTGGGCTACTCTGGGAGGCAAAAATACAACTGTGATAGATACATGGGTGAGTGAACTCTACATTACCATCACATTTCACTCTGAAGAGATGGCAAAAGAGGTTCTGCAGCCCAACCTTGTGTGTCCCAGAGCAGTAAAAGCAACATGAATCCTACTTAATAAGTAATTTGAAAGCACTTTCTGGTTTGTGAATCATCTGCATCCCAGCCTTTCTGAGACTCTTGGGTAATGAGACGAGAACAGTGCAGCTTCTATAGTCATTTCTACCTGCTCACAGGACTGCCAACCTGCTCTGGACCTAATTTTGAGCTGTTATTTTAAAAAGCTCTCTGCCACTAAGCAGTTCTCATCTAGAGATCTCAGACATGAAGTAATCCTCCCAGCTTTTCTAGAAAAAAGCCAACTACCATTAAACCTGTTTTACAGGTGGGTAAGCTGTGCTTCAGTCTGCCTGAGATCACAAAACGTTATTTAGGGCCAAACTGCCTGGGCTGACACATTCCTGCAGCAAGGATGACCGCCTAGGAGGAATACTAACCTCCTTCATTAGAGGAAAAGAGTGCCCAGGCAGAGGGAGGGCTGGCTGCACAGCCTCTGTTTATGTACATGCTTTGCACATGACTATGAAGCAAATAAACCTCACTGGCCGTGTGGCTTGAGTCCAGGTGTCCCCTGGATAGAGACACAAGCAGAGTAAACTGAAATGCCATGCTTGGCTCTTTGTGCTGAGCCATCCAGCAGGTGGGAATGTAGAGCTCCACCTGATTGCTTATGCCTGAGTCACCTCCTTTAGCATTTGTTATTTCCTAGTATGTTAGCATTCTGCCTGCTGGATAATAAATTACTTCATTCGCTGCAGTAGTGAGGACACGATTAAAAATTAACCCTGGGAAATGATCCTGCATATCATTTTCAGTCAGAGCCAGACAAGGGAGAATAGGAGAGGGATGCTGTTGAAATCTGATTTGCAGAAAAGGTGAGCGGTGAGCTTTTGGTAATGGGGATGGCTCAGGCTTTAGTTTAATCACTGCAGTTGTAGGCAATCGATGATCAAAATTCAGAGGGCTTAAGGCACTTGGTAAAGGTAAAAGCAGTGCAAGTAGTAAAGGCTCAGGCATATTGCAGAGGAGGTCAAAGAATGGGATTAATGGGGATTACTATTTTCTGTTTGCAGAAAAAAAATTAATTTATCACATGGATGTTATTACCACATGTAATGAATGGAACAGGATCTGTAGATGAAAAACTCTTCAGTTTTGGTTTATGTGTTGCGCCCTTTTCTCAGTATCACACTTAAAATCCACACCCTATCTATAGTAGCATGCAGAGTTTATTTCCAGAAGTGAAGGGTTTGCATTACATATCTGAGGAAATAGAACAACTGACAGACAGATATTTCATTTTCTTGGCTTCTCTTGCCTCCAGCACCCACACAGTATCCATCAAATTGTCTCGAGTCAAACCCTCACAGGCTGCATTTGAAGCTTGGGCAAGGAGCCAGGCAGGCTTAGAGAGCAAAGACCTTTCTGTCCGCATGCACTTACCCCTGTTTGTTTGCTGCAGTCCAGAGCAGGGGAGCTCAGCTTTAGGCTCAACAAAAAATACCTCCTTACTCCCTTTGCATTGTTCTAAGAAAGGGATTTGATTTGAAGCCTGTAGTCGCTCATATTAATGATCCCATTGTTGACACAAAAATTGCACCTTGTTCTGAGACGTCATTCAGCTGGCTTTGGTACAGCAGCAAGCAGCATGTCCCATCCCAAGCCCACAGTTCCTCAGGGATGTTCCAGGCCCCTGGGCTGCTCCATTCGTAGATGGTTGGTACCTACAGATAGTGTGGATGGTAACATAAGCTGTAATGCCAGGTGCAGTGACTATGCAGGCCGATTTGCCCTCTGGCTGGCATGCTTTTTTCCAGAAGCATATAATAGCTGTTGATTTCAGAAGCCATACTGTGATATGACAGCACCTATGAAAGAGCCAAGCTGAGGTCTGCATGTTTGTACTGAGTCACCTGCCCATCTCCATGTGGCAGAGGTATTTTAAAATGTCAGGCTTAAGCAGATATTATGCTGCAGCAGAGAAGATATAAAGTTCCTTCATAAACAGTTTTATGAAATTGCTAGATGAAAGGTACTCAGGTATTGCTGTGTTCAAGATGGAGACATTTCCTACTCTAAGATCTTTCCTTACCTGTGGCATTTCAGGGATCATAGTTGAAATATTCCTCAGCCTAATTCCTGCTTTTAATTTATGTTCTCTCCTTTCTCCATCCAGACAGATCTTTGTCATTAGCCCTAGTACCTGGCTATCTTGATCAGCTATCAGAGCCCCCAAGTCTTCTGTCCATTCTGCTCCCTGGTCCTGTCCATTACATTGATGAGGAGTGTGTCTTCAGAAGAAGCAGCCCTGGTTCCCATGTATCTGGGAGTTGGCCCTGCACCATGCCACACAGAAGGAAGGCTTCCAGACTTAGCAGCAGGGTAGGGTGGTCACAGGGACCTGTGTTCCTCAGCAGTTGTTTGTCTAACATCTTGGTTAAAAGTGGGCATATCAGAAAGTTGTGCTTAGAGTGCTAGGATACTCCTTGAACATATTTCCTAGATAGCTGTTGTATAAACAGTGAGGAAGCGATTCAAGCGTGTGATCACAAACAAGAAGGTAGGTGGTATGGTAGTGATGTGGGAACTGCCCTTGCTGGGATGTTGACTGTGGAACAAACAGGGTTTGTTCTGTGTTTCAAGATCTTGTACTCATCGCATGCAGCAGTCAACAGTTTCACTGAACTCTTGCTGCAGCCAAGCATGCTGCTGGAACAAGGATTGTATTTTAATGGTCACTGACCAGGCGTTACCACAATGGTTGTTGTCAACACAACACTGTTTTATAAGCATGGTCTTTGCAGAGGTTTTGGAAAGCCCAATAGCTTAGAGTTAGTTTGGCACCTCTTTGTAGGCTACATAGTAGATATGGTTTGAAATCCCTTCCTTGAACTTCAATAGGTTTGAGATCACACTCATGGTTTGGTTATTTATTTATTTATTTACCCACCCACCCACCTGCACCCAGATCTCTGTATTTCACTCTCCAGGTTGCCAAGGGCTGTGTGTCTTGCTTCTGTGTTGTGAGGCAAGTATGTCAAGGAAGAAAGAAGTGACCCATGCAAACAGCTGTAGGCAGCTGCTCGCTGTTCAGTTCTCTAGAAAAGGAAGTTGTGAACTACACCTGGAAAATCTGCCTTCCACAAAACAGGAGTTAACCAGTAAACAGTGAATATATAGTTGAGTGCTAGACACTTGCGTTTCCACCGACTTCTAAGGAGGATGAGAAGGAAATGTATTTTTAACACCAGCTTAACTTGTAACCTGATTTGTTACTGCAGGGAGTAATCAACTAATAACTTAGCTGCCTGTATTTGGTACCCAAGATTACTGGGAACGGTCTTTAATGAATGTCCCTGTGTTAGTACATCCCCAGCAAGGTATAGGGACTGATCAGTGCAGGACAGGACAGGGGAGTCTTGTGTGTATCCAAGGAAGAGGATAGTAGGATGGAGTGCTGAGCCAAAGATGCAAGCATACAGTGATATAGTGTGGGTTTTCATGGCCAAAGGGCTGGCCTACAAGCACAGCTGGAGTCCCTGGTAGAAAACAACATGCCATGTTCGCTGCCATGTGCCATCACCAGCCAGTGGGGCTGCTGACAGATCCAGCCTTGAAAACAAACTGTCAAGCAAGGCATTTGAGGTAGGTGTGAGATTTGTGTGCCCTGGGATGTGTTTTATAGTTTTTAATACTTGTAAACACTACCTGAGCGTCTGTCTGGGTCTCAGCCAGCATGCTGAGTTAGGTAATAGAGCTGAATTTTACTGAAACTTCTAGACAGTGCATAAAATGTACAGAAGTGTACCAATAATCCATCTCTTCTTATCACTAACCTAACTTAGCTGCTGGAATGTAAGTACATAGTCCTTTTTCTAAGCACGCATTATTCAAATTCAGAGCCAGGACTGTAAAGAGAGTATTAGGAAATCAGATCTCTCCTGTCATTTGAGCGAAACTTACTTCCCTCTCTGTGAGGGTAGGATTCCTTCCAGTAGTCTAGAGGAAGTTACACACGACAATGACCCAAATACAGATGAATCCCAAGGCTTTCTGAAGAGGCTATTCATGGAATAG